TATAAACAGTTATAAACAGTGACCAAGTTATTATTATAACAAAGGGATTATTACCCTCGGAAAAGCGATCCCCCAATTGACCTACAACCGGGTTCCTATGTACTGGTAGGTAAACACAGGTGTGTGGAGTGAAGAAACTTGCCCAACATTTCGCCCTGCTGGGAATCAAACCCAGGTACTCTCGCTTGCGAGTCGAGTGCTCTAAGCTCTAAGTTATGGGACTCCATATTATCCATCTTAACTAAATCCCAGAAAACATGCTTCACATTCAGTAACCATTATCTCAGCTCTTTCCATTAAATATTGAAACCTATAAACATTTACAACACAATGATGTTACACATGGATCAATTTCTAATGCCTACTTTTTTTTTATTACCATCCTAAGCTTCATCTTTAAGAATGTATTGTGGTCTTGCAGATGTGTTCCATCCCTCAAGCCAGGTTTTCAACCAATCAAATATAATGAAAGCATAAACGGGCTATTTAAAAGACAGACAATATTTCAAAATAGAGTAATACACTAATAAAAGTAATAACCAATAACAGCTGCACAGATTCACCTTTAACCAATTGCTCTAACATCAGCAGTGCAAACAGAAATTCTTGAATGTTATGGCACTTATTAAGAAAAGCAATTGAAAATTACCACATAAAGCATAATGCATACCTGGGGAGCTCTTGTTGCAACATCGTACAAGATCACAATATTGGTTTGAATGAAGAAGGCTCTTTGGCCCTTCTGATCTCAGAATACTCACGCATCACATCATCAAACTGCTTTTTAAATGAAAAATCCTTAGATCTTGAGTTTCTATCATAGCCTTTAATCTACTAGATATACCGCAAGATATTTAACTGAGGTTCTGCCCGTTCAGGTGAATGGATATTAAACATCTCATGGCACAATTTGAAAAGAAAATATAGGTTCTTCTGGTGTCCTGGGCGACAATCGCTAAATGAAAGTAATCATCGCTTCATGGCTACTTGTGGGTCAATGCTCTATGCAAAATGACTGTTTCATTCAAATACACTTCACAGTAAATCATCTGAAGCACTTTGGGAAGTTGCCAACAGGGTAAAGAGCTATAACAATTGCAATTATTCTAATATTTGCAGACCTTTCCAGCCTATTAAGTGATGTTCAGTACCTGTCCAAATAACATTTCGGGGTGAAAATGCGATTTGTGATGTGTTAATATTGACTGATGATAAATAGGGTCAATAAGTCCAGATGATGGTGAAAGATGATGTGATCCTCTCTCCCCACTCCACCTTCACCCCAGCACGAACATAATGATTGAGTCTGAAGCCAACTCCCCATCAAGCAGTTTGTTTTTCTTTGGTGTGGGTTCTTGTTGGAAGCAATATCTTTTGATTAGGGTGAATACTGAATTTAGGTTAACCACTATTTTGGTATTCATTTTCTCCTTACCACAGCCCATGTTAAGTGGATTTTCACAACCACTCACATTTCAGTGAGTGTGTGAAATTTCCATTCTATTCTAAAACCACATTTTTNAAAAAAATACACCAATTCGGCAATTACAGAATTAACCCAAATTTGAGTCTTGTCCAGAAAAGCATGTGCTTCAACAGAAGGGGAACAGTAAGCAGCTGTGTCAGGTAACTCTTTATTTAAAGACAGAAAGAGGGAAATCTGAAAAAAGGTGAAGAAAACACACCCTTGTGCCCTAACAGAGAAGAGAGACAGAGCGATGACCGCAAACTTACAGAGCAAAAGAAACAAAGGAACTTGTATTTTTATAGTGTCTTTTTTCAAAATGTCTCAAAAAATGACTGTCAAGTATAGTGAAATTTGGCCTAAATATGCATACCACACTCTATTGCTAATGGTTTTGGTTCAATCATTAGTAGTTGTTGAGGTGGGATTAATCTGAAGCGATGAATTATGAACATCACACAAAGCGTATATTGCACAACATTAAAGCACAATTTTTAATAATGAATATTAACAGTGGGAAGGGAGAGGGTCAAAGTTGTGCTATTCCTAAATGTATTCCATTCCTTACTATTGCCAGTGATAATTAAGGAACAGTACAGAAATTGAAGCTAAAAACATTATTTTAAACTTGACAGATCTGAGACTGAACAAACCCTGACTTTGGGAAAATTAATTGTCCCTTGGGCTTCTCGTAGTCAATTTGGCATCTTTTCTCATTTTGATTGCCACAGAATATTGGATTTCCAGCTGCTAGAAAAGCTTTTTTTAAAAAAAATGTAAATTAAGCATCTAGCCCATTCTCTCCGAAATCCGGGGTAGGACCTTGCAGGCATAAATGGCTGTGACATTTATCTACAAACAGTTACAATGCCTGACAGTAATTATATGACACATATCAAAATAAGGCACTATAAAATTGCAAGTTCATTTGTTTATTTTGCTCTGTCAATTTTTGTCCATTTTTCTCCTACGTTAGGGTAAAAGGCAGTGATTTATTTACTTTGTTTCATGTGCTTCTTTTTGTCTTTAAAGAAAGAGCTACCTGACAGAGCTGCTGACTGCCAAGCGGCCCTTCTTTATGCTCAAACTTGAGCTATTTACACCTCATATTTGGCATCCAAAATTGAACGTGTGGATTTGCAGGACATATCTCCTGTCAATCTGTTTTTCTTTCAATGAAAACAAATTCAGCTCTGTGAGTGCCTCTGCGCAAGTTTTAATGATCCACTTTATCCCATAATATGTGCATTCTTGGGTCAGTATATTTACTGACAGCCAGATAATAATATATGCTTATTATCTGCCAGGGTCAGCAAATCTACCAGTAGGAGAATCATTTCTCTCCTTGCTGCCTCCTTATATTAAAGGTCTAGTTTAAGCAAGCACTTTCAGATTTGATGCATTGTTTTGTTACTGGTAAAGTTACCACATAAAATTTATGCTTGTTACTTCACTGAAAAAAATCTTTTGTGAAAATATTGGTACTTAACGAATTGAAAAAGAAAATATCTACCATTTACTTTCACAAACATTTACAGTAGCATTACCTATGTAAAGACATTTAAATATATGTGGGTAGGATGTGGAGGAGTGGGGAAACGGGATTAAAAATACAAGAGCAGGTTCGATGGCCCGAATACAATATTCCTGTTCCCGAACCAGCACACATGGTGCAGTTATAAAGCACCCTGTGCTTCAAAGCACTTTAACTGATATTTGAGCATTGCATTTTTAAAATGTTGTTGAAAATTAAATTATATTTCTGCAACAAGCACATTATGCTGCAATAAAGCTTAGTTAAATTCCTAACTCCCATACAGTATATCTTGAATGGATTAATTCCCTCACCGTTTTCGGTTTGAAGTTAAGACAACTCTGATTCTGTGATTCTTTCTCCAGTAGGTACTAAGAAGTCAGTTTGACTCTCATATTTCCCTCTCGGCAAAAAACATCGGGGGTGGGATTGGATCAAGCAATTCTGTCAGCCAGCTTGATGTGAAATCAGCACTTAAGGACACTATCCTGCATAAAGTGTACCATTATATATGCAAGTTCTTGTTGAATCTCTTGCTTTGCAACCAACTCTAACATCTAGCAATGAAGTTTCTATTCTAAACCAGCAAAACTAATAACCAAATCCTGTTTGGGCTGCTCACTATGAAGTGTATAGATTGTGAATGTGGCGGTTATTCTCCAATTACATTACACATTGTAGGGGCTAATCTCCTATCATCAGTGCACAGCATCGTGTTTGATAATTAATCAGAGTGTAGAATAATACAAGCTCACCAAGTTCAGTAAATGAATTGACAGGAAGAGATTCACCCAGAGTGTCCACAAAGGCACAGGTTACATCCGACCTTAAGCCCTACCAACCTGTTGGGCAGGCTCGCTCCTTCTGCTTCGTAGGCCCTGATCTAGTTCACATCCCCTGCTGTGCCCACCCCACCATGCACAGTTGGGCTTTCAGCATATCCGTCTCCACTCTCTGGAACTCTCGCCTGGAGTCCCTTCACCTTGCCTCCTTCAATGTCCGTTTCAAACCTCCTCTTTGACCACTTCTTCAGTCATCTTCCCCCATCCAACCCCTACCCCCCTTGGCCCCCAACCCTTCCCAATGCCAACCTGTAGATCAGGTGCAAACCCTCAACTGTCAACTTTAGAAGTCATCCTGACATGACAGGTGCTATATAAGTGCAATTTGTTATTGTTGTAAAGCTCTGTCTGTGGCCTACCATTAATATACAGTCATTTCCTGGTTCAACACTTTACTATTCCTGCAAACGTAAACTGGACGACAACTGAATTTACTGCTGCAAGTTAATAAGCTTTTATTAAATTACTCCTTAAAGGTGAGATTATGTAGCTATAAATTTTAAAGTCAGAGACACAACAGCATTGAGCCCTCACTGCAATTAATCTTGGAGACGTAAGAATTGTGCAGTAGTTACAAGGAGCCAATGAACAGTGACTTACATTTACTCAGTTTAATGAAAATGTGTACAAGAGCCTTTCTTTACTTATTACAGCACATATTTTAAAATATGTTGGGTGCTTTTGAAAGGTAACTCGCATCTGTGCATATACCATATTGAAGTATTTAGCTGAATGGATTTATTTTAGTTATGGCTGCTTCACGTCCCCCGCCTTGCCCTCCCCACCATTCAGCTTCTCTGCCCCCACTCTCTGGAACTCCATCCCACAGTCCCTCTGCCTCTCCCGCTCCCTTAACTCTTTCAAGACTCAAGACCCTCCTCTTCGACCATGGCTGCGGTCACCCTCTTACATCTACCCTCTCCACCCTCCACCCCTCCTGATCCCAACCACCAGCTCAGGTGTGGATCTCTGACTATCCAGCGCCTTGGGACGTCCTCCTGACGTGAAAGGCGCTGTACAAATGTAATGTGTTGTTAAATATCTGAAATTATCTTTTATGGGGATAGGGAAAATTCACTACTCTAGCAGTATTTACGGTGCAGAACAGAAACATAAAAAAAATTGAAACTTTAGATATTAAAAAGGTATTAATACATACCTTTAGTTCACTGCCAGGTAAGGTGCCCACTCCATTGTTCCATTCCATGGCATCATATATATCAAAGTCCTTTCCATCTGTTGTGTTGCTCGTCTCGGGTTCTTCATCGATTCTTTCAATTTTGATTGGTGTCGTCTGCCACTCCTTTTCTTCAGACATCTTTCCTCCATCTGAATTGCTCACTGGGATTGTGAAGGAACACAGAAAAAAATCATTACAAATTACTCACTTACACACACAAAAAAAAATCAGTCAGCTTCATAAAACAAAAAACACATAGAAATACTTATACTTTGCAACCTGTAAATGAATCATTCAGCCCAACCAGTTTGTGGCTCAGTTTGTGAGTATGTTTATACTCCACATGAGCCTCTATTCTTCCTAAACCCCTCTCCCTTAGTCTTCTATTCCTTTCTCCCACATGTAAAAAAAATTTTATTTCATGCTGTAAAATTTTAATTTACCATTATATTTTAAATAAATGGGTTGATAACATGATAAACAAAAACTATCATCATTGAAGATAAGTATATTACAGTAAACACTGGAGTTGCTATGAGCTACAATCTCTAGATTAATTAATTGTGTGTTAATAATGAATAATAAGAATCGTTGCATTTGATATAGTGTTTTTTATATCAGAAGGATATCTTCAAGGACTTCACAGAATTCACTGTAAAGTGTAGTAAACATGTCAGCCAACCTGCGCACAGCAATATCTCACGAACAACCACAGAAAGAATGACTAATTTTCTGCAAATAATCTGATTACATAAATTGAGATTAAAGGATGAATTAGGTCACCACAAGTCATACTGTACATTTTTCTTATGTATTGAGAACGCTTGCCATATCCACAATTACATACTGCAGTACAAAATCCAATACACACAAAAAAAATCAGAAAGGAATATTGCTGGTCATTAAAAGGTATGGTACAGTTCACAATCTAAAACACTAACCAAACCCATCAGTCTATAGCAACCTTGAAGTCAGGAGGATGTATCAAAGCACCTCAGTGGACTTACTGCAAAATGTATAGCGACTGGTTATTTTGTCGGCAAATTTTCACCAAATTCTAAACATCATCAGCCTTTTTTAAAAAAAAGTGTAGAAAATTCCAATTCTAAAAATCCCCATATGTTGATTTGATCTTCCACTTAATGGTCCAATTTTATGACATAAAATTGGAAAACCCTTCTACAGACACTGTTCCTCATTCACAAAATTGGAAACATTTTCTACAGCCCCTCTTCTTCCCCATTTACACATGTACGGGGAACATCACACTGTGAGTCAGAAGATAACAATAGAACAGTTGCTAAGCATTGACATGCTCAAGATTGTATTATTTCATAACATAATTAGGGGGTTAAGAACTGACTTGGTTATGTAACAGTTAACAGACCTGCAACAAAGTAATGTGTTGAAAATAAACTACTGTGTATATACTGCAATGAAAATCATCATTATTATTATGTATTCCACACAACTATAATACGGTATTTTAATAAACGGAATCAGTTGGGAATATGTTTAAATTGCTCCAGCTCCTTTAAAAGAAATAGGATCAATTCTTAGAATAAGTGATTGTCTCTGTATAAAATGGCAGCTGCGTATTTTTTTCCCAGTGCCTTTAGCAATTTTATTTTCAGAACGCGTTTCAACATTTCAATAAAACAGACACGGTGGATTTGTGCAAGGTAAAGAATTTCCTTGTAGAACAAATTTGGAAAGAAATTTCACCTGGGACTAGATTTATTCTACGCTGCATTTTAGAGCATTCAGAATTTGGTAAGTGGTTAAAGTCAGGCTTAATTTTGAAGTTAGTTTTCTGGATATCTGGAAAAGAGTTTGCAGAAGATCATCTTCAAAATTCAAGCTGTATTTAACAAATTGCGAAATTCTGCATGCTCCTAAATACTACCTAAATTGAGTAAATTTTGGCCCTGGTGGAATTTCTCTCCACTAACTGGTAACAATGAGACCAAACTCTTTTCAGTCTGTTTTCAACCCAATTGCATATATTTTGTTGTGGTTTTCCCAGAATGGTAGAAGACAATGCTTCCCCTGTGCTTCCCTGAATAAGTTCTGATCTTAGTTGTTTCATTGAGAAAGGTGATGAGGCAGGGGCTAAGAGGAACAGAAAGAGCAGAAGAGAGACAGCAAGTAAAGCTCTGCAACTTTCCTTGCACTACTGGATAGCAAACAAAACCAGTGCAATTTAGGAGGTTCACAAAACTGGGTTAATTTTGTAAATCTCCCACCAATCATTTACTCATATCTACACCAACAACAAACAAGATCAATTTACATAGAACTCCTCTCGAGGGGTGGTGTTTCAGAGTAACTATATTTGTGACAAACTGGAAACTGGTGACATGCCTATTTTCTTTGTCAAAAACTACTGTGCAAAGATGGATGAGCAATCCAAATGTATATTGTGATCAAACTCAAACAATAAATAGTAAGAATCCTTGCTTTTGATATAGCATTCAAAATGCCTCGAAACACTCCACAGGATTCAATGTAAAGTATAGTGACTGTGTATTTGTAGGATATTAATTAGAGTTCCATGGTTTAATCTTTCATACAGGAAATGTTCCAATTTTAATACAAAAGATCACGGGGATCAAAAAAAAGTTCCCAGCCATTGTTTGGTTCAAAAGAGAAACAGATACAACCAAGTTCAAAGTTCACAAGTTTAACTATTTTATGGCTGAAGGGGCTCAACTTTATTTTCTAGTTGTGTTTGCATCAAGGACGCAATTGTTTCAAAAACTGGGCGCAAAGTTGCAGATGTCATTTATGTGAATTTCCTGGTTTGAACAGATTACCCAAATCCTTTTACACAAGTGTGATGGAATGTCTGTACACTGGATTGAAAATGGCCTTGCACACCACTGAAAGATTAAAGGAACATTTCTTTCTCAGTGCTGAAATAACTGACTTCAATTACATTTTGATACTCTACAGTTTGATTGAGATTTTAATAAACTAACAGTGCAGCATCACATGCATGCTATTCCCAGATGCCAGAGGGAGCTCCATTTATCATCCAAAAATACAAATGCACGCAAAAATGTTTTTTTAATGGGGAATGGGGAGGGGGGTGAATGCATTGCATAATTTAAATGTCACATTTTAAAATTAGATAGCAGTGTAATTTGGCTTTGCCTCACAATGACAATACAATTCAGGACCAAATACTTTCGAAAGACAGATTAATATTGAACATATTTTTAGGAGCTATTACTCGGAAAGCTAATACCACTAACAGTGTAATATCATTCCAATTATTTTATAATGGGTTTCAAATTAAATAAAGTGGGAGAAAAATACATCACAGGTGTAAATGCATTATGGATGAGTAAACTGCTTCCCATCAAATCAGAGCCAAAGAAAATCTGGGCCAAATCATTATTCCCTACTTCTAGCTAGAGGCAAAATGAAAGTTGACTCAGCTCCAAGTTTCCATTTGCCACAGGGTAAAAAAAAACTCTTATCTGAGCTTAAATCCTACCAAGGCTTTGATTGGGACACCAAGTCTTGGCTCTCACCAACTTGCAGCAAATACTTTCTACATTCATTTCAGATAACTCATTTTTATATAAATTGTATCACTCAATTGGCACAACTGTAAATAAAGAATTAGGATGAAAGCATTAAGTTGCCAAATAATCTCCATATACAGACTGCTGAAGCATTGCCAACATAGGTTGTTGGGGTACCTTTTTCCTATCATTAGATGTTCGTAGTAAGCTTTGGAAAAGGGCACAAAGTGGCATCTGTGGACAACACACAGTTTCACAATCTAGGATGACACTCCAGTACAATGCCTGGGGTGTGCTGCAAGTCTTCAGAAGAGACATTAAACTGAGCCTATTCAGATGAATCCCATGACTTCCTGCAATATTTCAAATGAGATTGTCATTGGAGCTATCATTTTGCTTCATAACTAACATCACTGCTGCCAATTTAAATACACAATGGAACAGTACACATTTTAGACAATCTCATAGCTCCACTGGGGGCATTATAATAATTATCCTTGCATTTGATACAGTGTCAAGAACATCTCAAAGCTTTTCACAAAGTTTCTGTGAAGTGTAATATTGTGTATTTGTTGGCAAACGTGGCAGGCAATTGGCAAACAGCAATCTATCACAAGCAGCATGAACAATGAACAATTTATCTGAGGAATCGTTAGCCAGGATACTGGGAGAAACTCTGTGTTGTTTTTGAATAGATCTTTAATGCGTTGGCTCAAGGGACCCTGATCAGCTTCCAGAGGTTGGGCTGAAATCACGGCTGCCATTGAAGTCAATGAGCCTATTTCCTTATTTGTTGTTTCTATTCTTCAAATGCTTATCCACTTCACTTTTAAATAGTTTTATTGATTCAGCTTCAGTGTTCAGTTGTGGTCATAAATTCCACACCCTAATGACTCCTGAGTCAAGAAATGCTATTCCTTGCAGCAAAACGGAAAGTCATCATACATTTTGGGTAAAATACCTTTTAATGAAGACCTAACCTGAATGATCTAGTATTCTAAGGTGTGAAGGAATAGTGGGATCTTGGGGTAGAGATACACAATTCTTAAAAAGTAGCATTGCGAGTGAAGATAAAGCTTTAGCAAAGACAAATGGAATCCTGGGGTTATATATTGAGCATTTAATGTAAAAATAAAGAGGCTGTGCTAAACCTGCCCACAACAGTTGTTATAATCCAGTTGTTCAACCTGCAACTGGAATATTGTATGCAGCTTTGGGTATCTTACTGTAGAAAGGCAAGAAGTATAACGTAAATTCACTAGGGTGAAACTATGAATCAGACAGTGTAGTTACAATGGAAGGATTAAAAATCTGAATCTGTATTCACTAAAGCAGAAAAGGTTGAGATCAAAATCAAACATCAACAATTATAAAGGGCTTTGAGGCAGTAAATGGCAACAGAAGCATAAATTCATTATTGGAATGAATGACAAGGTCAACATTTTTTTCCAAGCACAAAATGTTATTAGAGCAACTAGTTGCCACAAATGGGTACTGTCAAATACACGTCATTTAAAAACAAATTATAATAATCTTGGAAAATAAAGATACAAAAAGGTCGGAGGAAAGAAGATTAGAATAGAGGAGCTATTATTGCAGCACAATGGCTGAATGATCTCCCTTTGCACTGAAATATCTATGATTCTATGAATAAAATACACATCCCCTTTAATGTTTCCATCTACACTTGCAAAGTTCATATCATTGAAAGTTGGCTGCATGCTGAATATTTTAAATATTTAGATCTTTTTACATCTTCAAACCAGAAGTCTTGAGTACTATAGATAGCACTGTTTAATTACAAAATGCACACAGTGGTCCTTCCTTGTTGTCTTCTTTCTGAAGCATCACTTAAAAGTTTGCATGTACAAGCTCTCAATGATTGTATGAAAGCACCTAAAATGCATGGTAATTACTTCATAGAATTTCAAGCCATTAATCTACATAACTAGGGAGAAGGGAATCAAGGAGAGGAGTTCAGGAGGGGTGGAGGTTTATGTGAAGTACAACCACAGGCAAGGACTAGATGGGCTGAATGGCCTGCTTCCATGCTATAAAGTCAGTGTTGCCAATTTCCTAGAAATCATTTAAGATTAACCACATGCAAGCAATTTAAAGTGACATGAAAATATGGGATAAAGGCAACTTATGACTAACTCTTGAATTTTTGAACATTGTGTAAGTGAACATAAAGAATACTGTGTTGGTTAAAATCAACTTATGCAAGGCAACGTTTGCTCAGACTATTGCATTCTGAGCCTAAATTTATTGCTATTGAGGCGACAATTGGTTTTCCACACAAGCTTACCTGTTTTATCACACTTGAAGTAGCTTAATATAATTTTAATATCATTTTTGTTTTCCTACTCAAGATGCGTTGCAAGTAAATTAACATTCATTTCCCATAAGTAAGAGGCACCCAAACCTCAAACATCTAATGTTGTGTTGAAGGTATTTTTGCTCAAACTCATTAAGGAGAGCGTGCGTTCATACAATACTAGAAAAAGCATCAAGTTGGCAATTTTTTTCCAGCTAAAAAGAAAGTTCTGCTGTTCCACAAGACATTTAGATAAAATTAACAATTATGAAGACATACACCAGTAAGAACAAAAGAATTAATGCAATTTTCTCTCAACAGTTGTAAGAACTCCCACCTGTTAGATTGAGGGGTTGACTGACGTCACTCATTGTTTCTGCGGTGATGGCATCAGATCCTATTCGCCGGCTCTTCTCAGCAGCTGTATTGCCCGCAGTGGCTTTCAGCTCATCAGGAGCAATCATCCTTCTCCCTCCTCTCGAGGATCACTGCGTATTATAAAAATCAGATTGAAGTATTTCAATTTATTCATTACATATCTTGGAAAAGTACAAACCCCAGGTTGTGCAACCCACGTGTAATAATGCAAGTATAAGGAGGGAATTACAGGTGGCTTCAATTATGTAATCCATCAATGAAAAGGACAAATAATTCTTGTATTTGAATAAGATTCCAAGCAATTCTAAAATCCTTGACATTGGTTGCTAACAACATAATTCAGGACACCCTTTCATTTTTTCATTTATATCATTACACGTAGTTAGCATAACTTGCAAATTAGCTTTACATTCAATTTCTTCTCAAGGACATTGAGAAAACTGATTAAAGCATCAATAATATTGCCTTAACAGATACGGAATCCATTTTCCTGGGCTCTTGTAAGAAAACCTTAATGGAAATTTAAGAACTTTTAACGTTTAAAAAAAAAGTATCATGCTAGTGGTAAAGACATTTAATGAAATATTTGCTGACAAGCAAAACCAAAGAGATTATCTAACGTTAACAGAATAGGAATACTACTGCAAAAGGGATCACTAACGGGAGTAATTCTTACATATTTTCTACAGCTAATAATAAGTTGTTTCCATGTCAGATTGCCCAAGGGCTAACAGTTGCATTCACAATGTGGGTATCACACATTAATATATTAGTTCAGTAACAGTATTAACTAATTGGAATATCATAAATATGATTACATTTCAACAATCAGAATTAATTTTGCTCCTAAACAAGTTACTCTACCATCCCATTGCAAATTCTTGCCAGCAACAAGTTAACTGTTCCCAACAAAGAGACAGTAATATGTTTTAACAATGGGCTGCTCACTTAGTACAGATTAACTCTGTCAGATCTCCAATAATCCAGTGCATTTTTGTGAAACAAATCCTTGCAAAATGTCTTTAATAATTATTCCAGACAGCAACTACAACAAGTAGCCAGTCGGGTGTACTAGGCAATAAATTGTGAGACTACATGTTGCAATGCTCTTTCCAGTCAGCTCATTACTCAATAATTACACACAATTACTAATACAACCTGTTAAACAATAAAACCACAGAGACCATAGCTATTCAGATCCCACCCCCACCTCCAAATTACAACACAAGCAATGCTCTCCTTCATCTAATTGATGGGCTTATTCATCCTAAAGGGTATTCATTCAATTCATTCATTTGAGAGAGAGAGAGAGAGAGAATGAATCAGTTTTTATATGAAGCTCACACTGAGGGGAAACCAAACACATGCAACTTTCATCGGTATTAAAAACAAAGTGCTTCCGTTTCTCTAAAATGTGTGACTTCCGTGTTCAGCAAAACTGCAGGAAAAGCAACGAAAAAAAACAGCAACATATTATTACAATGTTTCAATGATTCCCCCACACACACCACCAGCACCACAGAGAGCAGAGCAGAGACACTGCACCAGCTGGTGTAATGCCAAACCCTCTCACACACACACACACATACAACATGCACACACTACACACACCACACAACATACACACACAACATACAACATACACACACACCACACAACATACACACACAACATACACACACACCACACAACATACACACACAACATACACACACAACATACACACACTACACACACAACATACACACACAACATACACACACCACACAACATACACACACAACATACACACACTACACACACCACACAACAGACACACATAACACACAACATACACCACACAACATACACACACACCACACAACATACACCACACAACATACACACACAACACACACCACACAACATACACACACTACACACACCACACAACATACACACACTACACACACCACACAACATACACCACACAACACACACACAACATTCAACACACATACACAACATACATACAACACACAACATTGAACACACACACACAACATACAATACATACACACACACCACACAACATACATACAACACACACACACCACATCCATTCAACATACACACACAGCATACAACACACATACCATACAACATACCACACAGCATACAACACACACACAACATGCAACATACCACACAACATGCCACACACACGCCAAATCAACACACACACACACATTCACAGAGTTGAAACCTCTGATCGGATGCTGGACTCCCTCCGGCAGCTCGAAAAAAAAAAGAAACTGCATGAAACCAACACAACAAAACAAAACAACAGCGACAACAACAAAAAGCCATTTGCACTTTCTTTTTTTTTTGCTTTGTTTGGAAACAAAAACAGCAACAACCAAAAAAAAACAGAAGTGAATTTCTGCTACTGAGAGAGAGAGATATTGACACTTCGGACCAATGCAACAGAACATTTAAAACATAAATAAATAATATAAATATATATATGTATATATATATATATATGCATCGATGCAATGAAAACTCAAGGAACTGTAGCAGATCACCTGCTGCTCACTGCTCAGCGCAGAGAAACACTTAATGGTGATGTTGTGTGGTTTGGCTCTGGTTGCAGTCAGCACTTTCTTCTTCTTTTTTTTGTGTGTGTGTCATTCGCCTTTAATTTACTTTTCTCTCCATCGCTGTGACACCAACAACCTGCAGAGGGATGGTAAAGAGGGGGAATGGAGGAGGGGGGAGAGGATGGATGGAGGGATGGATGGATGGATGGAGGAGGAGGAGGAGGGGGGAAGAGAGGAAATAGAAAAATACATTTTACAGAAATTTGCAGAGATATGAATCAAAATGGCGGTGCAAAAGAAATATTTACAAAGCACAAGGAATGTCCAGTATTATATATGTATATAGATACAGATACATATAATAGTCAGGTTTGTTTATTTATTTTGATTGCATATTGCACACACATATATATATAAAAAAAACACTGGAGGAGAAACTGCAACCCCCAGAGCTGCTGAAAATGTTATCCAGTTGAATTTTGGGGGGAAATGGCTATAAAGTAACCAGTGTATGTGTATGTGTGTGTGTGTGGGGGGGGGGGTGGGGGGGGGGGTGGGGGGTGGACCTGGAATTGTTTTGGGGGTTAAAAAAAAGCAGTGACTTTCTCTCTCTCTCTCTCTCTCTCTCCACTCCCATTCTGGGGGGGGGGGGGGTGGGGGGTGTTGGCAGCAAATAAAAAAAAAGTTGCAATGAAATACGATGCACAGGAGACGCCAAGTGTGTTATTTAGAGGAACACTGGACGTGAATAGAGAGAGAAAAAGATATATATATATATATATGTGTGTGTGTGTGTGTGTGGAAATTCGACGTCTTTTCTCACCTGCGGCCACATTTATTTTTTAGAAAAAACAAATCAAACACTTTTTTAAAAATTTGCTGAAATAGAAATGTGGTGTTCCCCCCTCTCTCTCCCACCCCCACACCCCCCCTCTCTCTCCCACCCCCACACCCCCCCTCTCTCTCCCACCCCCACACCCCCCCTCTCTGCTGCACCCCCACACCCCCCCTCTCTCTCCCACCCCCACACCCCCTCTCTGCTGCACCCCCACACCCCCCTCTCTCTGCTGCACCCCCACACCCCCCTCTCTCTGCTGCACCCCCACACCCCCTCTCTCTGCTGCACCCCCACACCCCCCCTCTCTGCTGCACCCCCACACCCCCCCCTCTCTGCTGCACCCCCACACCCCCCCCCTCTCTGCTGCACCCCCACACCCCCCTCTCTGCTGCACCCCCACACCCCCCCTCTCTCTACTGCACCCCCACAACCCCCTCTCTCTGCTGCACCCCCACACCCCCCCTCTCTCTACTGCACCCCCACAACCCCCTCTCTCTGCTGCCCCCTCTCTCTCTCTGCTGCATCCCCACCCCCCCCCTCTCTACTGCACCCCCCTCTCTCTGCTGCCCCCCCCTCTCTGTGCTGCCCCCCCTCTCTGTGCTGCCCCCCCATCCCCCCCCTCTCTCTGCTGCCCCCCCTCTCTGTGCTGCCCCCCCTCTCTGCTGCCCCCCTCTCTGTGCTGCCCCCCCCTCTCTGTGCTGCCCCCCCCTCTCTGTGCTGCCCCCCATCCCCCCCCCTCTCTGTGCTGCCCCCCATCCCCCCCCCTCTCTGTGCTGCCCCCCCCCCTCTGCCGCCCCCCTCTGCTGCCCCCCCCCTCTCTCTGCTGCCCCCCCATCCCCCCCCCCTCTCTGTGCTGCCCCCCCATCCCCCCCCCCCCACACACACAGACGGCGAATGATAAATTGTTGCAATAGTTTCAATCGCAAAGGAGCGGTTCTCGAGCGGCAGCGATTCCGCATTGAGAGCGTCATTTAAACTCCGGAGACAGAGAGACAGAGACAGAGAGAGACGAGAAGTCAGTGCATCGCTGACAGCAGAAAACTGTCTGCAAAGTGACCAACAAACTCTGTGCCAATCCCCCCCCACACTCGCTATTGCTCCTTTTACCCCCTCCCTCCCTCCCCCCTTTGCTATTGTAAAAAAAAATCATTGAATTTCCTTACCAGCGAGAGCTCTGACACTGGGCCCTTTATATATATATATATGTACAGCTGGGAGAGAGAGTGAGTGTGTGAGAGAGAGTGAGGGAGAGATAGAGAGACAGAGAGAGAGAGAGAGGGGCAAAGCGCAGGCGCGGAGAGCACCCACTGCTGGAGGCAGCGAAGCATCAAACTCCACCTGCACTGAGCAAAGAGAAGAGGGAGAGAGAGGGAGAGAATAAAGAGAGAGAGTCCACCTGTACTGAGCAAAGAGAAGAGGGAGAGAGAGGGAGAGAATAAAGAGAGTCCACCTGTACTGAGCAAAGAGAGAGGGAGAGAGAGTGAGAGAATAAAGAGAGAGAGTCCACCTGTACTGAGCAAAGAGAAGAGGGAGAGAGAGGGAGAGAATAAAGAGAGAGAGTCCACCTGCACTGAGCAAAGAGAGAGGGAGAGAGTAAAGAGAGAGAGTCCACCTGTACTGAGCAAAGAGAAGAGGGAGAGAGAGGGAGAGAATAAAGAGAGAGAGTCCACCTGTACTGAGCAAAGAGAGAGGGAGAGAGTAAAGAGAGAGAGTCCACCTGTACTGAGCAAAGAGAGAGAGAGTGAGAGAATAAAGAGAAAGTCCACCTGTACTGAGCAAAGAGAGAGGGAGAGAGTGAGAGAATAAAGAGAGAGAGTCCACCTGTACTGAGCAAAGAGAGAGAGAGTGAGAGAATAAAGAGAGAGTCCACCTGCACTGAGCAAAGAGAGAGGGAGAGAGAGTGAGAGAATAAAGAGAGAGAGTCCACCTGTACTGAGCAAAGAGAGAGGGAGAGAATAAAGAGAGAGAGTCCACCTGTACTGAGCAAAGAGAGAGAGAGAGTGAGAGAATAAAGAGAGAGTCCACCTGCACTGAGCAAAGAGAGAGGGAGAGAGAGTGAGAGAATAAAGAGAGAGAGTCCACCTGTACTGAGCAAAGAGAGAGAGAGAGTGAGAGAATAAAGAGAGAGTCCACCTGCACTGAGCAAAGACAGAGGGAGAGAGAGTGAGAGAATAAAGAGAGAGAGTCCACCTGTACTGAGCAAAGAGAGAGAGAGAGAATAAAGAGAGAGTCCACCTGTACTGAGCAAAGAGAGAGAGAGAATAAAGAGAGAGTCCACCTGTACTGAGCAAAGAGAGAGAGAGAGAGTGAGAGAATAAAGAGAGAGAGTGAGAGAATAAAGAGAGAGTCCACCTGTACTGAGCAAAGAGAGAGAGAATAAAGAGAGAGAGTCCATCTGTATTGAGCAAAGAGAGAGAGAGTGAGAGAATAAAGAGAGAGAGTCCACCTGTACTGAGCAAAGAGAGAGAGAATAAAGAGAGAGAGTCCATCTGTATTGAGCAAAGAGAGAGAGAGAGTGAGAGAATAAAGAGAGTCCACCTGCACTGAGCAAGGAGAGAGAGTGAGAGAATAAAGAGAGAGTCCACCTGTACTGAGCAAAGAGAGAGAGAGAATAAAGAGAGAGGTTCAAGCCCCACATCTGGATTTTTGAGCTCACACGTTCTACAAAGCAATGTTGGGGGAGTGCTGAAGCTCTGTACTTCGGAGGACACGTTACATTGAGGTCCTGTGTGTCTGATCAGACGGATGCTGAAGATCCAATAAAACTATTCGAAAGAGAAGGGAGTATTGTAATGTATAGTTGACCAAGGAACATGATTACAAGTGATCATGTAAGCATTAGATTGAATAAAAGAACTTGTTTTTTGGATGTTTTATCATTGTAAAAATATTGAAGTGCTTCACATGTAATCACAGTCAAGTGTAGTGGAGGAAATATCCCACAGATCAGAGGATTTTAGTCTGTGGGTTGCATTGCCTCTGTTATAGCTGGGCAAAGCTGTTTTTATGAAATATAGTATTCTTTTCACTCTACCATTCCTTTCTCAACTGACCCCTTTTCATATACATGAGGGATTTAGACTGGTGAAGGATCTGTTTTCTGTGAAATAGGAAACAAATCTAATATAGCTTCAAATCTTCAGATATGTTGGTGGATGTTTGCCACCCTCCTAATATAATTTTGATCTG